TAAAAAGAGGGGCCGGAATGCAAAATGTGCCGAGCTCGATGCATGGAGAGCACAATACGAAAATGGGGACCACACAATAACCCCTTACATGATAGAGTTGTTGTTAAAGGAGCATAAAGATGGTGGAATTTGGTTCAAGAAGCACTTCACAATCCTAGTGGCAAGCATCCTAATTTGCATCCAACAAAATGGATATGCAAATCAATCAATCATACACGAACTAAAGGATGTGAGCAAGATAAGGGAACTGAATTGGTGCAAGTATCTGATTGACGAGCTAGTTGAATGTCACAACAAATGGGTGACAAAGCAACACAAAAAATTTACTGGACCATTGCTATTTATAACGGTAAGCCCAGCATTCTGTGTGTAATTATTTTTAGTTTTGGCGTAAGGTTAAATGGTAATATGTGTATTGAGTTTATGATTATAATAATAACAACTGTTGTCATGCCAAATGAAAATGCAGATGTTGTACGTAGATAAAGTTGTGAACCCATGCCGATATGTCGAGCGAAACAGACCAACATTCATAGGCTGGACTGCAAAGCTGTTAAACGAGCGTGAGTTTGCGGAGATTAAGAAAGGGGGGGGGGGTTTGGTTTAGGAGTGATTGAGACAAACGGAGAAGAAGACGAGCAGTTGAACGAGCACATCACAGTAGAAAACCAAGAAGATGAAGCCGAAGATCCAGTAAAGGTAAAAACTTATAAGGTTAATTGAATTGGAAACTTTAATTGGTTAAAAACCAGCAACTTGATTTGGTTAGTACTTACAATCTGGAACACGAAATGGCAGGCCATGGAGGTACGGTTTATAGATGATGCAAACCAAGTTATCAATAAAGTGCAAGATCTCAGTAAACTTGCGGATGAAGCTGGAAAGTGCACACTGACTCATACGACCTTCGAGAAGTTAGTGGAGGCGGGAAAGTTGTTGTTAAGAGTAGGACAACGATATGTGGCAGCGAGAGCAAAATGCAATCAGAATCAAGCACAACCCGAAACACAAGATGCCGAAGAGCCAGTGAGCAGTGCATCAAAAAATAACGATGAGGAGGGGGGCGAAGCGGATTTAGGCGAAAAGGAGACAGAAGTACAAAATGAGATAAACATGCATATGGGAGACAACGAGCCAGCAAATGAAATGCCATCATTCAGTCTAGGCTTAACCCAGGAGATGAACAATATACCAGTGGTGAGCGAACCAAATCAGGATCCCGTGATTGCAGATGATGCTGTAAGTAAAAAAAGGAATGTTAGTAAATTAGTCAAATTTAATATGCACCAGATATATATAATTTTGTACAATATCAGCTTGTGAGTGTGATTTTAATGTTCGAGAACGCAGTGCGAGGAAGCGATGCAGACGGAAGATGAAGGAAGATAAACCAGGATCGCATCGATACACGGCAATGATAAGCATCCCACGACAAACCAACCAGAAGAACCATTCCTCACACCTCCAGAGGTATGTCGCGTGCTAAATTTGATAGAAGCTGAGTTAAGGAAAAAAATAAAAAGTAAAATAATGTGCATGATAGTGGGAAACAGAATTCCAATGTTGCTTGATTTAAAATAGGTAAATGTTTGGGAAGTGGATGTGTGAAATGTTTGAAAATGAGTTTGAAATAAAAAATTGGTAATTGTGCATGTGTGAACTGTTTGGGCAGTGAGTGTGTGAAGTGTTTGGGAAGTGATTGTGCAACAATGTGGTAAATTGAATTGCAATGTTAACATATTCGACAGATGTACATGGTATGGCTATTATACCTCGAAAAGTTAGCTAGATTTGTGAAATTAAATATACTAGTCTCGAAAAATTTAATCACACAGTGGGCATACAATGACCAAAAAAAGGGTGTTAGACTAATTTTAAATCACACATTTTGCAGCAAATGATTAACCCAAATGGAAAGGACAAAGGAGACCAAGGAGGGACCATAGAAAGGGCACCAATGAAAATGCAACGAACTGAAGGCAACACGACCAACTTACCACAAAACCCAGGCACACCGTCAGACCATGATCGCATAGCACGAAGAGAGCTCACAAAATGGTACTCCCCCACCCCAAGTGAGATGAAGAAGTGGATAATCCAGAATGCAAATGCTGACAAGTAAGAAAGATTACATTATAATTCAGCACCTAATGAAAAATAATATTACACATCACCTGATTTGCTGACACACAGGGACGAGGAGCTCTTCCACTACAACAACCAACGATCATTAAGATCTGACATGCTGACACTGGACACGGGCAAAGAAGTGAACGCGACAGTTATAGACAGCTGGGCATGCGTACTAAATGACAAAGAACAGGCAAAACCAATCCTTGATCCAACACGATTCTTTGCATCAACCAAACTAACGGTATACAAATTCTATTTAAAAAAAAAAAAAGGAATACTTGAAATTCTCAAATAATATGAATACTGTATTGGACTAAATATGAATATGTATGCATGCACAGATGGAAACAGTGGTGGGATGGACAGGGACACGAGCACAACGGCTCAAACTATTTAAAAGGAAAATGAAAAGCGAGATGACTTTCAGCCCATACAAAAAGTGGACAGAGATTGACATGGTAAGTTAACATAAGACTTAAAAGGGTAAGAAGTAACAAATGTATTTGTTCATGGGTTTAAAAACTACTTGCTAACCAATTCGAAATCAATGTGCAATGCAGTTCATATTCCCAATATTTAACAAATCTCACTACTATGTCATCGCCGCCGATCTAAAGGGAGGGACAATGCAAATCATTGACAACTCATCTGCTGGAAAAAAAGAAGTGTATGGGAAAATCCCTGATATTTTGGTAAGAACTTCTAATCATATGCGTGTTAAATAATTTGATTACCAGTTGGAAATAAATGCAAAGAATATGAGCACAGCTTAAATTTTAAAAAACTGCAAAATAGATGAAAAAAAAAAGAGAAACAAATAGTGTAAATGTGGAGAGTGCGATATGAAAAAAAAAGATACACTGTGGAAATGAGAAAAAAAAGGAGAAACTGTGCATCTATTACTGTTCTTTAGGTGCAATATAGATATAAATGTGTAGCATTAGGGAATAAGTACATTATAATCCAGATTGAAATAATGAAAACCGGTGATATGATAAAAGTTACTAACCGTGTGTATGTATGAAACCAGAAGGACATGATCGGGTGCTTCCTAGACGATAACAAGGACCATAAAAGGGCGGCTGAAATACTGGAAATGGAACCAAAGAGAATGCAAATGCCTTGGAGGGATGCAACAGAAAATCCAGCCAGTGGAGTATATACAATGAGGCACATGGAATGCTTCATTGGGGAGAAAGCGAAGAGTTGGGAATGTGGGCTGACCAAGGGAGACAAAGCCACAATAGAAACATACCGAGCGAAGTACATGAAGGATATCCTGCTCAGCGAATGCAATGAGCAACACAGCAAAAACCTCCAAAGCTCACCACTGTACGGCCAGGGAGTGTTCACGCAATTCCGCTAAGCAGTAAGATGTGTGATTGGGCATTTATTTTTGACGACTTTAAAACAAATGACTATGGACAACAATCAAAGGTTTAAAAGTTGGAATAATTTTTTTGGTAAAGTTGTGCGAAATGTAGATGCATGGTTTTTATTTAAAAAGACTATCGGTTGTAAATGCACACTCATTAATTCGTGCATCAGTGGATTACGCCATTGTGCAATTACGTTACATCTGGATGAATCAGTGTGTGCATCGCCGGTTACTGAATTAATGCACTGCTAAATGGCAACAAAAAATAACCCGTAGACCACTAAATACATTAAGACACGTTAAGGTGATGTGCACCCACATAGAAATAGAAAATGCACAACGGTAGGGGGCGTAGGCACAATGGTAATAAACCAACTTAAGTTTAAAGTTGTATTAAAATGCATGTTTGCATGACACCCCTTAGTCGAAATGATAGGGTAAAGCAAAGGAACCGAACGTGCAAGACAGCGCACAAAACCAGATTTAATGCCAAAGTCCCTACCCTAAACTGTGCGTTAGGCGTGAAGTTAACAAATAGGGGAATCAAAATAAAACACACAAACGCGTATAGTACAGATGAATTAGAGTGCAACATTGATGGGAGCATACGTGCACAGAAATCCAGTCACCGTGTGCAACGACAACAAACTGTACTGTGCAAGTGGGATGTGGCAGCATAATATGGGGAAAAAGAATAAAATAATACCACCGTATGTCAAAAACAAATAACCCATAGTCCACTAAATAGATTTTGATACGTTATTATGATGTGCACCCACACAGAAACACAACATGCATCACGGTAGGGGGACGTCATACGCCGGTAATAAATCAACTTAACATTGAAGTGTTAATAAGATGCATATTTGCATGACACCCCTGAGTCGAAATAATAGGGTACATCAAAGGGGGTGCAAGACAACACTCAAAAACAAATTACAAAGACAAATGAATTGTTGTGCAACATCGAAGGAAGGATACGTGCAAATATGCACAAAATTCCAGTTACCATGTGCAACGACAGAAAACTATACTATGCAAGTTGGGAGTGGTTTCAGAATAAAGGAAAAAAGAATAAAAGAATACCACGACCATCTTATCTAAAAAACGGATAATATAAAATTATTCCACAGAATAGAAACACAAATCCAATAAACAAAAACAAAACAAATCCATTATTGAAAACCAACATCAAGTGCGGAATAAAAACAAGTCAGTGACGAAGTAAAAAACATAGCAACGTGTTTAAATTGAAATTTAATCCAAAGAGCAATACGACCCCCTTCCTCATATGTCAACGTTGCGCATCGGGCAGGTACGACTATTATGCCCATACTTTTCACAAGTTTGACATTGGCGTTGTCGACGACCCGACTTTTCAATAGCTAATTCCCTTGTACTTTTGTAACGTTTGCCACCACCCTTGTTATTAGAGATTGAAGGAGGATGAACATTAACTTGACCATCGGGCAAAGCACCGCAAAACGACTCAAAGTTGCTTCTTAGAAGAAGAAGCACGAACGCTAGGACCATTCTCAGCCAATAAAAAAACATTGAAATCTTTCAAAGCTGCATTCAACTTGGTAACATTATCAACACTCCGTGAAGCCATGGTCACGCACGAAAAAAATTCTGCCCAAGCTTCACCAATTGCGACATCTACCTCCAAAGCGCCCCCACGTTGAACACCCAACAACTGTCGCACACAAGCCCCCCTTGTCCAACGTGCGATCACATACCGAGAAGGGATAGAAACAATCCTACGATCCTTGAAAACCCAGAAAATATGACGACAAAGTAACTCAACCCGTGAAAACATGTTACACGTGCACTCGACAACAGCATTACCAGAGTCAAAACTCACGGTGCGCACCGGCTCATCACCATCTTGAACCTCATACCGGGTTACCAACCCTTCAACATTTGAACGCACAGAACGACACGAAAAAGATCCCGCAATAACCTCGGCTTGCACATCATAAAAAACATTAACAGTATACACCGCAACCGTATGCTTCTCAATCAACAACGGAGTCTGGCACAAAGGAAAGTGGCCCTCACATTCGGGATTTAGTTTGGCCTACGCCAAACGTTGAGTATCAATAGCCCCTTCAAAATTGTTAAACTCAGACAAACTAGCATGTTGGTTTGTGCAACTACCAAATACACTATTCGCAGCTTCGGACCTAGATGTCATGCGAAGCAAACCACCCATGAAAAGATCATTAAAAAACGCAGGGATCCAAAACGATCTCAAATCATACATAAGACGAAACCACCTGTGATCACCAAGGCTATACTTTTCCATTACGTCCTGCCAACCCCGCTCAAACTCCTCCACGGACAACGTCTCACACCAAACAACATCATTCAAAGCACGCCGAAATTCCTCGTCTTTAGATAGAACATTACCAACCTTCTCACCAACCTTTGACATTATATGCCACATACAAAACCTATGCCGCGTAGTATCAAACACCTGTGGGACTGCAATCTGCATCGAAGGATCATGATCAGTGATAGTACAACTATGCACACAACCCATTGCACTTTTAAATTGCTGGAGAAGCCACACATACGAGTCCACATCTTCACGGGAAATAAAACCCATTGCAAATGTGACGCCTCTCTTGTGATTATCAACACCCGTAAACGGAACCAATACCATACCATACCTGCAAAGCATAACACCAAACCAAAAAAAAAAAACATGGTTTTTAGCATACTGCATGCACAAATAAATACAAACAAACTGCATAGACCAGTAATTTTAAAAAAAAAAAACTACAAGGAATTTCATTTTACGAACACGTGGCTTACCTACTAGTCCCATAAGTCGCATCAAACGACACCACCTCCCCAAAAGCAGAAAAATTTTCCTTCGCAATAAGGTCAGCCCAAAAAGCCCTACATAATTGATCCTGAGAATCTACATCATATTTAAAGACATACTCCGGGCAATCATCTACCTTCTTAGCATATTTTTTCACAACAATATGAGCATCAGAAGTCCCAATAAATGCCATTAAATCACGCTTCAAATTTTTAAAATCGACACATGTCGCACCAACATTAGAATACGACCCAGCAAACTCCCTAGCCAAACGAAACGACCTATTAGGCCCAACGTTGGCCCTAGCACACTTAAGCACAAAAATCTGATGTTACACATCCATGGAACGATTACCCCGCAAGAAAGGCTTAGCCACGTCCGAGCACAAACAATGATTATGCCGGTGCTCAATGAAATTAACCACAAAAACCCCATCGTCAACCATCTTCAACACCAACCTCGCTCGGCAACCCACCCTATTTGAAACACGCCGGCGCTTCGGAGCCACGGGTGCTTGATCCAACGCAGCATCCACAACAACGGGGCCCTGCACCCCCTACTTGAACCCCTCACGCGAACAAACCAACAAGTCTTTCACAACAACACCCCCCTATTCTTACGCACCGAACTACAACGTACATCAAAACCAACGAGAGACGCATACTGACGATAAAAATCAATACCGTAAGCGAGAGAAGGAAAAGTCTGCCCCTCAAAAGGCTTAACCGCCTCATCACACGACGGCGTCCAAAACTTAGTTCCATCGGGGGACACGTCCATAACACACCCTTGCAGCGATTCAGAACGTACTGCACAAACATCAAATAGAAATACACACACAAACACAGAACTAGCCAAATAAAATCGACATGCACAACATTAAAAAAAAAAAAAAAAAAACACGTTGCTTGCACATATCAAATAACAAAACATGCACTTTATGAAGTAACCACCTACCCGCTCCAAAACAAAATCCTTCAAATCAATATAAAACGCAAATACCATGTACACCGAAATGCACAAAACTACCAACATAATATCCTATAAGCGAACAAAAACCCAGCACACACAAGCCATGTTGTCAACCCAACCACGAAATGCATAAATTAGCAAAACAATTTATAACGGAAAACACATGCCAATTGAACTTATTAAAAAACAAAAATCACAATTACAACTACACATAAAACCAAGCCAAATAAACAGTCACTAAACCAAGAACCACGACTGAAATATAAAAACTAAAATTCCATAAACAACATCAAACCACAACACCTAAAACACATGTCATACAAATGAACACATACTTATACACAAACCAAATACCAACAGATGCTCAATAAAAATATACAAGAAACAAACGAAAACACCAACCTGGAGAATCCATAAGCCTTCGCACAAAGAATGTCGAAAAAAATGAATAAGGACTGCAAACTATTAAACGATGCAAAGAAAAGCCACAAAAACTAGAAAGTGTATAAAGTGGAGCGCTGAATCAGAATATAAACGATCAAAATATTAATTTACCATGTATAATACTCTTAAAAAAGAGCAACTCAGCCGACAAACATACCCAAAAAATAGGAAAGAAAAAACAAAGACAAAAAACACCTTACACACTCATGCGGCAAAAAGAAAAAAAAAAGACAAAATAAATATCCTAAAAAACAACAACCATAGATTAACGCACAATCAACGGCCAGATTTTGACCACAGACCTCACGTGGGAACATGACCTCATATGATCCTCTATATATATATATATATATACATATATATATATATATATATATATATATATATATATATATATATATATATATATCATGCACCAAACTTATGCATGTCACATCTCAACAACTTCTCAATGCAACAAGGTAATGATATACCACATGCTCATGAATTTTTGAAAGTAATAAATAGGCTCACGTTGGCCACTTATGCACTTTTAAAACATGATATACTTGGATGCAATTTATTGTACAACATGCTTCAAATCTATATATCACATTGAACTCTCAAGAACATACAATCATGCTTGTTTGCAAAAAGACATACTCTGTACATTTCTACCATCAAAATTGTAACACCCCCGATTTTCACAACTCTTAAAAACCAGTTAAAACTTAATAAAGGGATAAAGTCTACTCATCAAGATTAAAGTAAAGCGGAAGCTAAAAGGCAAATACGGGAGATGTCATGCCACACCTATACATCTATAGGTGCACAGGCTAGGTCTAAACAAAAGTATAAGTCATACTCATAAAAATCCATGGCTCACAGGCCAAAACTCTAACTAAAACAGTCATAGGGAGCTACACTATCTAACAAGCAGCTAGCGCGCTCTCCAAAAGCTACTCAAGACCTGTAAAGCAACATAACGAAAGGGGATGACACCCGGTCATCGAACATTGCTGGTATCCCATCAATACGCGTTAAATAGCATATATAGATAGTATAAATCAAAACCATTTTCGAAACGAAATACAGTATATATCATTTCAAAAGTCATAGAGAGAAGTCAACTGCAAAGACTCATTCACACTCTCAAAGGAAAGAGGGAAATCAACATCCCAAAACAACAACAAGACAAGATTACCAACTGTAACAAATACAACTAGAGGTGTATTCTACTGATCACGAAGTAGAATACATCTCGACATGCTCATTATCAAGGAAACACATACACACATTGGCAACTACATGCCACAATGACAACTACAGGTCACAAGAATCACAATTCCAAGTTCCAACCTAATGCCTTGTTCCAACCTTATGACTACCCCCGGCCTTATTACAGTTCCAACCATTACCTCCGAGTAACCCCTGTCCTTCTGAGTCCAACCTTATGCCTCCGGGAACCGTCGTTCCCCCGCCAACAACCGCCAACATTTCCGCCAACATATCAGTACACGAGGGTACAATTCATATCACACAACCGCCAACATATGAGCCTATGCCCAGGTCACACCACCAATTTCATTCATGGCCACACGAGGACCGCATCAGTACCTTGAAGATTAAGGCCCCATAAACCTTAATCGTGCAGTCAAGGTACAACGATTACACACGTTTTCACATCACGGAATCAATCAATAGATCACAACAAAGATATGAAACCATACTCAACAAGGAAGGATTACAATCCGACACCAATGGCGGTAAACACAAGTTGCCAGCCTCAATAGGAAAGAACAAACCACACACACTAGCATTTCAACATCAAACTAGCATGCTTATAAAACGGGTAAACCAAAAGTAGTTCCATAGAACATACAAGACTCACCCTGGTCCAACGAATCACAAAGTTGGACACTTAGCACAATTCAAGACACCAAATCCTACATGGATTCCTAACATACTGTTCTAGACATACGAAACATCAAGAAGACACTCAAATAGCCCAATAAAACAACATCGGGAGGTCAAAACATCAATACCGAGTCAAAAGAATCACGGGGAACAAACCTCCGACCAACCTCACTAGTGTACCCCGCGGGTGGGGCTACGGGTGGACCTCCACCCGTGGTTCCGCCCGCGGGTACAACACCCCACGAGGCACGTACCCCGCGGGTGGGGCGGCCGGTGGAGCTCTGCCCGTTGTTCCGCCCGCGGGTACGCCCCTTGTAACACCCCGTGTTACGGCCTCTAACCCAGACTAATTATTTAATTGCTTGCCATTAAAAGAGGTTAAAATCCCTTAATTTATTAAGAAGGGGTCCACCATGGATCATGGACCCTTATCCCTAAACCAAAACCTTAGTCCTATAAGAAATATAATAAGTGAATCCCTACCTTTCAGACCTTAGTTAGGACTCTTAAATATATATAAGGACCTAGGAGGCACCTAGAAATCCCACCACAATAGATTCCACCACACAAGAATTCCCAAGAATTCCCCTATCACCAAACGTAGGAGAAATCACGAAGGTGAGATCTTAGAGAAAGAACCTTAGTAGCCAAGGATTCTAATTAAGGCTAAGAGGTAACCCATGTCTCAACAAAACCCATTTTCCTTGATATAATCTTCTTCATTGGCTCCTTTGATATGTGATTCTGTGCTTGCGTCTTGATAAGGCCTTGCCTGAAATTGATATGGTGTTTATGAGATAATCTTGATGTTTATGAGATGATCTAGATGTTTATGTGTTAATCTTGATGCTTATGTGATAATCTTGATGTTCTTGATTCTAAGATAAATTATATAAACAATCTTGTGTTTTAATTATGACTAGAGCCCTAGGGATAATACGTGGATTTCGTATTGTGTTATTCTTGGTATGTTTGGGTGGGATTTTGCATGTTCGGGTGTTGAGTCTTGGCATGTTTAGGAGTCATGTTAAAATGTATTTGTTGTGGTTCTTGGTTTTCCTAGAGGTAAAATCATCAATAACTCTACCAATAAAACTTCTACATGTTTTCATTAATTTTAATTTTGAAAAACTCATCTCCGCAAATGCCATCACATGTACTTTCAATAAAATTTGATAAGCAATAGAAATCATTGAGTAGCAATTTGTAACTTTGACAAATTCAAAAATCTTGATCGTTGACACAAAGTCACCTATAACCCTTTCAATTCACAAAAAAAAAAAAAAAAAAAAAAAAAAAAAAAAAAAAAAAGAAAGAAAGATAATCTAAGTTTACATTTGACACATACATTGTTATCCAATTAGCATGTGCCTTCATGAGTAAACGAATAACTAAATTAGAAATAATACTCTTTCTACGTTGTTAGGGTTTTTCTCTTTCTCTCAATATCTTTAGGGTTTTCTTGGTTTTTTTTCTCCGATGACTTCTTTGGTAGCGTCTACTATGCACGTCTGGTGTGTTATGCTGTACTGTTTCTTGCATCCCATCTTTCTCCTGGGCAGTGGTTATGGCATCGGCGACTGCGACTGTCATTAATGACCTTACGAAACGTTACGAAGAGATCATTTTGGAGGGTGAGGAAGTTGGACTGCAATTGGAGGGCGGTGAGGACAGGTCCAAGGCTGCTACGAATGGCGATACCTGGATTTTTGTGGGGAAATTCCTCAATGAACGCATGGTAAAAATTGAGTACATGCAGAAGATTATGACATCAGTTTGGAGGCCAGTGAAAGGTGTGTAGATCACGAAAATTCAGCCGAACTTGTTCATGTTTTTTTTCTACCACAAAACGGGCATGCAACGTGTTCTCGAGGATGGGCCGTGGTCGTTTGAAAATAGTACTTTGGTGTATAAACAGGTTGGGGTTGGGGAACTCCCAAGTTAAGTGGTTCTAGATACAGTGGATATGTGGGTACAACTTCATGACCTACCATTTGGATACACATCATATGCGATCATTGAGCAGATAGGAAACTTCATAGGAACTTTTGTTCGTTGTGATGATAGGCAGGTTGGGAGACTGTGGAAGGCGTTCTACTGTGTTCGGGTCTCAATTCCTGTTGAAAAACCAATCAAACGTAGAATGAAACTAATCAAGAGGGATAATTCGTGGTGTTGGGTATCCTTCAAATACGAGAGATTTCACCCTTTTTGCTTCTTCTATCAATCGTTATACCCTACACCATGGTGCGCGTAGCACTGTGCGCCGCGCGCCTCCCAAAACGACGTCGTTTTGGGAGGCGCGGTAGGAAGTTGCTGTGATTATGTATATTTGTTCATAAAATTATGTATATTTGTTCATACAATTATGTATATTTGTTCATACAATTATGTAATTTTTTTATACAACTCTGTACATTCTTTTTATACAATTATGTACATCCGAATCAGGAAATTTTTGTGTATTATGTTAAGAGTTGATGTGTATTATGTTAAAAGTTTATCTTTATTATGTATTATGTTAGATTATGTGTATTATCTTTTAAAAAAGAGTATGTATATTTTGTTATATAATTATGTACATTCATGTATACAATTATGTGTATTCTAGTATAACATTATGTACATTTTTGAACATGGGTTTTTTTTTTTTAAAGAAAAATTAACTGCCAAACACTGGGGCGGGAAATTTCAAAAAAAAAAAAAAAAAAAAATTGATACGACGTCGTTTTGCATCTGGGTGCACAATGCAACGCGCGCCGTGGTGCAGGATATAAATTGCCTTCTTCTATGGTTTGTTGGGTCATACTGATAAAATCTATCTGAAAGCTCGGGAGGCGTCGATTCCGGTGGAGCAATACATGTACGGTTCATGGCTTTGTGCGGGTTTGAGAGGGCAATATGCGAAAAGTGGTTTTTGCCAGCGAGAACCCCTCCTCGCGTCTCCTCGCGTTGTTGAGCCTTCGGATTTAGGAGGGAAGGGGAAGTCAGTGGTGGTCTGTAACACCCCGTGTTACGCCCGTTAAATTCAAATTAATTATTTGATTAATTCCATTAAAGAATAGTTAAAAGGATTTAATTTGGTCAAGACCCCCTAATTAATTAATATGGTCCACGGAGGATCGTGGACCCTTGTCTATAATAAAGCCTTAAAGCCCGTTAGGATAATGAAGTGGGCCCAGTATTAATTAGATTCTGAATAGGATTTCCTAAACATATATAAAAGAGATTAGAAATCCTTGAGAACCTTTCCCTACCATCTCTGTCTCCACACTCGAAAATCCCCTCCCAGGATTCAGGCAAAGAATTCCCCCGTCACCAAGCCTAGGAAAGATTGATAGGAAGAGGACCTTGAGGAAAGATCCTAGAAGTCGTAAGAAGTTTAATTGGAGCTACGAGGTAACCCAAGTCTTAAAAAACCTATTTTCCTTGCTATCGTTTATTTATTGGCTCCTTTGAATGATTGTATGTGTGATTTGGTATGTATGCCTTGTTAGAGCTTGTCTTTATAATTTATGATGTGGATTCTTGTTATTCTTGATGATCTTGTGTGGTGGCTTGCATGTTCTTGTATTTAATTATGTTTAGAGCTTGTCTTTAGGGTTTTATATGATGGCTTCTTGATGTTCTTGAGGTTCTTGATGCTCTTGAACCGTCATGTGTTTTTTCTTGAGTCTTGGCATGATTAGAGTTGGTGTTTAGGGTCCAATTGTGTTGTTTCTTGGCTTATTCTGTGTTCAAGTCCCTATTGTTGTTGATGTGTGTTTGGGCGTGTTTGGACTTGATTTCGGGTAAAATTGGGGAATTCCCGGGATGGGAAAAATGCCAAGAAACACTTGTTCCGGCGAGTAGTCGGTGGGGGGACAAACCCCCACCCGACCACCCGTGGGGACCGGCCACTGTTCCAGCGGGTGGACGACCGCCCGCTGGTACGGGCGATGGGTTGTGTTGTGGGTCTCTGCTGGTCGTTTCCCCGTGCCCCGGTGTATCCCGTTTGATGTTTGTGAGTTTTGTATGGTGTCTTAGGTACCGTAATGTGAATTGTGAATCGTGTCCTTGCATGTGGCCCATACTTGTATCGTGTGGTGTTAGAGTACGGTCTATTGTGGCCTTTATGTGTCTTGTGGTCTCGTTGTTAAGAGTCAATATGCATGACGTGCCCTTGCCCTGATGATCCCCTTATGGAGTCATTGTTGAGTCTTGTTTATTGTGTTGTTGTCCATGGTGAGGAAAGATATGAGATTGGCGGAAAAGATATGTTGGTGGTTTGATGCACTGCGCGTGCTTGTGTGTGATGGTACTGCAGTACTTGTGTGTGATTTAATGGCATCGCGGATGCTAAGAGATCGGTGGTCTTGTTGGCGGTTATGTAGGCGGGGAGCATCCGGTGCTCCGGAGGGATAAGGATGTGGTGTGTAGGGTGGCCTGGAGGTAAAGGTTGGAACTGATATAAGGTTGGAGAGGCGTAAATGTTGGAACTTGGTATAAGGTTGGAACATGGACGTGTTTGTTGTTGTTGCTTGCTATTGTTGAGTCTTACTGTTGTCTTGTCTTGTGGTCTTAGTTTGCATGCTTACGTC